TCAAACTTAAGATTTTGCGGACAAATCCCACTCCAAACAGCGTATAAACCATACACTCATTACATTCGTTCCTGGTACATGATTAAAGGATATTAAATGCTTTGATAGAGATTGATGATTGCAATAATACATCATCATAATTAATGTAAACTAGTTCTCAGGCCCGGGCGTGGCCTCAATTTTTTCTAGTTTTGATTGATAATCAATAACGATACGATAAAACTATTTTTTTTGTTTACCTACAATGAATTCTTTGTACTGAAATCATACGGAAATACGGCTTTACCAAAAAGTGGCCGAATCTGATTTGCTAAAAATAAGCCACTTAACAGATACTATTAAATGCAAAATTTTTACCAAATAAGTATAGTTTTAGTATTTTATTATTAAATTTAATTTGATATATACATTTGTGAGAAACCATACATATATTTCGTATTGTTATAATTTTGATCATTGTATAATGTGATAATGTGATAATGTGATAATTATCAATTTAACAATCATATACATAAAATGCCGCACAAATTCCGCATAAATCTCATAAAAAAATAACAATTAATCACATTTTATGCGCTTATTATACGATCGCATATGTCCGTGGTCTCTACTCCATGCCAGAGAAATATTTCATTATTCTCACCATCCCAGGGAATAAATAGTACTTAATCATACGTATTAACAAATAGATATTTTTAAAATAGTATTGGATTAATACAACTACTTCGAATCAGATATTGCGATTAGTTATATTCAACTTCTGGCTTAGTGTGACAATGTTATATAGCCATTTATAAGAACACTATCAATATTTTATTGTTCTCAAAAAATTTTTAATAGTGAACAGTAAAAAATTTAGACTGCACAAATTTATAATAGTGTCCTCATGAGAACTCTGAGAATACTAATTTCAAAAACACTGGGTATAGGCGATATGAAATTTCCGCTTATATACAATTGACAAGTGTAAATGAATACTTTATATCGATATTTTATTGTGCTTGCTTTAATATGTACGTACTGTACCAGGGTTGAAAATACCATAATTTGCTGGCCATTCAAAAAGTGTCATTATTGATTTATATGATATATTAGAATTTTATAAGCTAGAATTACAATTATATATATGCATATTAAAAATGAATAAATAACTTTATCATATGATATACTTGTAAAATAATTTATTCGATAGTGATATATCAAAAAAGAAACTTTAAACAATAAGCAATGCACAGTAAATGGCCGACAAATTACTATGGTGTTTTCAACCCTGGCACGTACGTACGCATCAGTACTGCAGTATCTGGTATATTGTGTGAAAAAAACAATTCTGTTACCTATGCTTTATCTCGTTCAGGTCTTGAACCCAATCCTTGTTAGAACAATCATGGCTCAGTCTTTAAGGACAGATTAACTAACATCCCTAATTAAAAATGCACCATATGTTATAAAAAAAAAAAAAAAAACTTTTTATTGCTTTTGAAAACTGAGTGCGCAAATATTAGTTCCCTTTCTAGTTTTTCCTTTATCGTTTTACTGCATAAACTTTCGTTCTTGGTTTTGCGCATGTAATTTGACTAATTAAAATTTAAGATCAGGTGTAACGGACAGTCTAAACTTTCTCAAAACAAAGATACATGTGAATTTAAATCTAATAAAAACGCGTAGGGTTAGGAATATGTCAGAAAACCATTTTTAATTAGGTCGCAGAAAATGTAAATTTACAAAAAAAAATACAGTAGCAGAAAATGAAAATTTAGAAAAAAAAATACAGTAGCAGAAAATGAAAATTTAGAAAAAAAAATATAGTAGCAGAAAATGAAAATTTAGAAAAAAAAATACAGTAGTTGATCTTGAAATTCGACTGGTTAAAATTACAGGGGTGAAACATTAAGGCGAAACAATGGGTTTTAACAATGGGTGACACAATCAATTAGTTCAGATAAAATGAACGAACGTGCATACGTAAACAATGTACGTATTTGTTTTTTCTACATATTTATGGTTGACTCCTAACATTTCTGTTTGCTAAATTTTTACTACTGTATTCGTATTCCATTAGCGTAAACGACCTATTAATACAAGTGTCTTAGCCAGCAAAGCAATCTTATCAATACAAGTGACCTACAACACAAGCGACCTAATCGACTTAATTAACACAACGAATTATACTTCTCATGGCATCAAAAGTGTTCAGGGGCGACATGCCTGAATTATTGGAAAATATTCTAAATAATTTGGATAAAGAATCTTGCACTTTACATTCATGTGCGCTTGTGAACCGCTTTTGGTGCAAGATATCTATTCCTATTCTTTGGAGTGATCCATTTTCGATGACTTTTCATTCATCATTTATATATAGTTACTTTTCATCCCTCAACGAGAATGATACTTTTATATTAAACAAATGTGGATTAGTTGTTAATGTTCCTGATACTCTATTTCATTACGCAAGATTTTTAAAGGTTCTGGATTTATCTTCTATGAGTTTTTTACTTGAAATTTGGCTCGAAGAATTGAATGTGAAGAATGAGGATATCAAGATAGTAAAATATGACGTGGCTAATTTGTTACTCAAATTATTTATCGAGGGTGGTGCTACATTATCTAATTTTTGTTTACATATGTCCAATGATGATGATGAAGATGAATCCTTTGATATCAATCCGGAGTTATTTTTCTCATTAGGACGAAACGTGCAGTTTTTCTCTCAACTTAAAGAGTTATCTGTCTCCATAAGAATTTATCCATGCCCCCAAAACGTTATTATATTATTAAATATTCTGGGTGGTAATGCAAAAAAAATCAATACATTAGCATTCAGGATGGTTGGATATGATGAAGATCAACTAATTCACGCTCTCGCTTGCATCATTAAATCTCAAGAACAACTTAAGTGTCTCGAATTCGAATCGACTGATAGCGTTGAACATATCATTTCAGCCACAAAACTTCAACAAATTTCATTAAGAGAAATTATTATTAAAGAGTGTGATTTTTCTAGTTCTGGATTTAGCAAGCTAAAGAGTTTAAACAATTTAAAAAATTTAGAAGTTATTCGTATATATGAAAGTTATGATACTGATAGATTATTGAAAATATTAGACAACAGCATTCATAAGATTAACACTTTAAAAATACGTACTTATTCTTTTAATGCATCGAATATATTACAAATGTTGCAAAGGTCCGGCTCTTTATTAAAACGATTAGAACTTATTCCATTGCAACATGAAATTTATTCATTACCACAATTATTAGACACTCTTATATCTTTCTGTCCAAATATCACATATCTTTGGTTCGTTAAGATTAATCTTTCTGATCAATTCCTGAATCTTATTGGCAGTTTACAAAATCTTCAATTTCTCACTTTACATTGGATTGATAATGGTTCAAAAGAAGAAATGAAAACATGCATTATGAAGTTGGCTAAAATATTGCCATCATCGTTACATTATCTTGATTTTTATGATTCATCAAACTCTTCCGTTGATGTTTTTTTGGAATATTGTAATGCTCCTTTAAAAACGCTAATATTGGAAATTAATTATGGGGACAACAAATCAATGGATGCATTAATTGGATTTTGTATAAGAAAGAAGACTTTGAATAAGGTGTATATTAACGATTTGTTTGATGAAACTAAATGGGATGAATTTACAAAGGATTTAAAAGACTACGTTGAATTGGTACCATTTTTGTATCAAATTCAAGTTGATTGCTGATATTATTCAAGGGCAGGTTTACTGTCGTTATTTTCAAATTCTTTAACTATTAATTGACTTATTGTTACAACTTTCACTGTTTGTAATGCAGGCAGATTTTTATGTGCAAATTTGTAGTATCGATAACTTTTTGATATCATCCTTATTATTAAAAACAAATATATCCAATTCGTATTAAATTTGTCAATTTTTTTGTAAGAAATTCTTTTAATTTCAAACAATGCTTTTGCTTTATAAATAAAAATCGCTAATGCATAGTTAGCCAATTTAGAATTACAGCAAAAAAACTTTAAAAAAAGAATTAATTTGTTTTGTGAAATAATATTGATACATGTATTACTGTCAGGGTTGGACAATTGGACAATTGGGTTGTCCGATGAGATTTAAATTTCTATAAATTGTCCGTAATTTTTTTTAGAAATAAGAAACCTCTGTTCAAAGTAAATAATTAGGGCAGTAATATACTGCCAATCTTTACTCTATATTTGCTAATAGGTCAATGGACACCGGACAAATTTATATGCTCGGTGTCCGATAATTCATCGAACATAGAGGCTGTCCAACCCTGATACTGTATTACGTGTAAAATCAGTATTCATATTTTCTGCTTGTGTGTTTCAATGCATAATAATCATAATTCATATACCGTACAATAACTGTTGGATAAAATTAGAAAGCAAAAATAGAATTTTTTTCTTTTATCCACATAATTGAATAAGCTATAAATCAGTACAGTATTATTATAAAAGTTATATATATGGTATATAATTAACGTCCGTTCCATTTGCGGCATGGTTATACGTACAAATTTGGCTTGAGTTAATTGTACTGTATCTTCTATCGTTACAATATCACCTGATCATAAACCGACCATGATTTAGAAATACTTTCATACAATTTGCTGTTTATATCTATTGAATTTTACATTATTAATACAGTTTAAGACTTTTTTTTTTAAAAAAAAAAATAAAACTATGAATAAAAAAAATAAAAAAAAGTAGATATTAAATTTTATTGAGGTTGTAGGACTCCATTACTGAAAATAATCAAAATCTCTTTTTTTAGAGAAGTTAACATGATACAAGTGACTTGATATAAGAAAGTTCCGGTCCGGCCAAAATCTTTCTTATATCGAAATTTTCTTATATTGAAGGCTTTTTATTATAAATTTTTCAATTGAGATTTAAAAAAATCTATCTTATACCAAGAGTTTCTTATATCAAAGGTTTCTTATATCAAAGGTTTCTTGTATCAAAGGTTTCTTATATCGAAGGTTTCTTATATCGAAGGTTTTTTATATCGAAGGTTTCTTATATCGAAAGTCACTTGTAATAACCTATTTTTAAAGTCATTATTATGCTAACGTAAAAAGGAATGCTGCTCATTTTCAATAGCGGAGTTCTACAAACTTTCTATATATTCTTATTTTTATTTTTTGTAAAATAATGTAAAATTCAATAAACAGACAATCGTATGAAAGTCTTCCTATGAGATCATGTCTCTTGTGCTATCTTCTTTGTGAAGGTATATCGAATATTTTTATCTTCATTTGTCCATCCTTGAACTGTTCATGAAGGGTCACATATCTGACACCAGGAATTTGATTATATATCGCTTACAATCTTATAGAGTTTGGAACCGTCAAAAATTTTGTTAACCGTTAATCGCATCGCTTAACTATAGATTTCATGATTAATCATGATTAATGATCATATGATCGTATAATCATTTAACCGTAATCGTATAACCGTATAACCGTGTCAATATATCATAAAGAATTTTCACTTTTAACGAATTGCATAATGAAAGTTTGAGTAACACTCCTGAAATTCTTTATGATCGTTATGCATACAGATTTTATTTATTATTTATTTTCTGTTTATTTTAACCCCTAAACCCGATTTTAAAGTTTCAATTAATTATTATGTTAAACAAGCTTATATATTAAAAAGATGTAACGATATGATTATACTTTAGTTTAGCAAATTCACAAATTATATCTTTATTTTAGAATATTATAACAATTAAAACTATTATAATAGCGCATTCTAATTAGCAAATTTTTCATAATAAGTGAATGCCTTATATTGCATCCTTTTTAACCACAATTCCTTTCTAAGCGTTTTAGAAAAAAGTTTGATAACCATCATTTCACTTTAAAAAAAGCATTTGTCCAAGAATCTTTGAGCCTAATCGTGTACGCCGAGGTGTTATTTGGTTGCCTGCATCTGAGAAAAGTCTTTCGGATGGGACTGATGTTGCAGGTATGCACAAATATTTTCGTGCTAACAAGGATAATATCGGAAATTCATTCTTGTGGTCATTCCACCAAAGCCAAGGGTTAGCATTGTAATCAATAGGAGGGTTAATACGACAATCCAAATACTGTGCTATTTCATCTAAAGGTTCAATCTCTTTCTGATCTTGTATACCAAAGATACCCTCAAAGAATGGATTTTGTGTTAGATTAGTAGTTATTGTTGATATTCCTTGTTCCGGGTTATTATTGCTAGTAATATTGTGCTGTTGTGAAATTTCAAATTCAGATCTTAATTTTGCCCTAGCCTTCTCTCGTTCCCTACTTGTAAATGCTGTCATTCTTTTTGTATGAGGATCTAAGAGAGTAGCAACTAATCCAATTTCGTGAAATTCATTCCAATAATGCATTAATGATTTATAAATTGTACTTTTAAATTCTTGTACAATATGATTAAGATTAGGTGGTGGTGGTAATAAATGAGTATCATGTGGCTGTGAATAAAGCTCATCATCACTTTCACAATCCAATGAAATATCCGATTCTACAAATAATATTAGTTATTATATTTAAAGAAACTTATGCTATATAATTAAAACCTTATATAATTAAAAAATTACCATAGTCATCATCATCGTTATTACTAGTTTCAATATTATTTAATTCAAATTCATAATCCATAAATTGATTTTGCAATTTCTGAATTATTGGATACATCAACGAAAGGGTAGGGTATTTACTTCCAGAAAAAAGAGTTGTGGCATGCTCGAATGGTTTCAATACCATAATAATTTTTTCTAATAAATCCCATTCATAGTCTTTTAATAGCCGTTGGGACAATATCTGACTATCTTTTTTATTGTCAATTCCTTTTTTCAATGGTAGTATAGATGATAACCATGTGATCGCATCTTTTAGTTCAAGTAGTCATGACCATGAATAGTAACTAGAATTCCATCTAGTATTGATGTCGGAAAGGTTACGTAAAATTTTTATTGTGGCTTCACTAGTTTCTTCATCTTCTTCTCCAGAGCCAACTTCTTGATCCATTTCAATACTTGATAATTCATTAAACCGAATGATTTTAAAATCATTTTCCTGAATATGATTTTGTCGTGCCAGATCTACTTGCGCAGCATCAAGTTGTTCAGAATGTTTACTTGAAGTAGTAAAAAATTTTACTAATTGTTGAAATCTTTTAACATAAGAATTAATTTTTTTTAAACCTTTGGTAACTGAAAGTTGAAGCGTATGGGCAGAGCATGGTAATCGCTCTATATTTTCCCAAATCATAAAGGTTTTTTTCATGTTGGAGCCATTATCTGTGACTCCTATAAATACTTTTTCATTTAATCCAAATTCACTTAGCTTGTTATTAAGATAACTTTGTATTTTTTCAGCTGTATGGGGATATTGCATACGCTCAATTGTAAGAAGTAAGTCAACAATTTCAAAATTGGACGTTAACCAATGAATAGTAACGCCAATATAACCAAATTTTGATCGTGCAGTCCAAAGATCTGTGGTAATTGCTGCATGTTCACATGTTTGAATAAGATTTTCTTTAAGTTTAATTATTCCATTTTGATAAGCAGCTGTAATAAAATTCTTGCATAATTTATTAGATGATGGCTTAAATCGCGGATCAAGTTTTTTAATAAATCGTTGAAACCCTTTGCCACGGAGAGTATTAAAAGGTAAAGAATCTAATACTAGCCACTCTGTGCATGCTGCTTGTAATTCATTTTGTTTGTTTGAACCATATGGTTGTATATTTGCTAATACTTGTTCAAGTGTAGCTTGATTATGATCTTGCTTTTTTATCTAATTTATTATTATGCATATAATGATTATTAAAAATAATTAATATAAAAAAAATAAAATGTGTAAATTAAAATAATACCTTCTTAGTTAAGTTTTCAAGAACTATATTATGTTCTTGTGTTATATGATAATTTAATGTTGACGTTGAATTTGAATTAGAACGATCATATTGACGACCACATATTACTTTTTTTTCTATTTACAGTTATCTCAACTTGGCATATTGCACATGAACCTTCTAGTTCAAAATATTTCCATACTTCAGCAGTACGTTTGTGCTTTTTTTGTCTTTTCCTTGGTAAACTAACTTTATTCTCCTTTCATGGAGATAATAATTTGGAAGAAGATCCTATTTCACTGCCATTTTTATTAATATCAGGTTCACTACCAGTTTCTGAATCATAATCTGTCCAGTTTCCACTTTCTTGGGTACTCATTGTAACAGAAAAAAGCGATCTTTTTTTTTTAAAGTTACCGATCTTTTATTTAAAAAAATCAATTAATTGATATAAATACTGATTTTAATTTTAATTAATAATTAACTATTTTAAACTTGATATAATATCACGTGTTAAGTTTTGAGATCCATGTTCTATATTATAAAAAAATTAATTATTTCGCTTTTAATTCTTCTGCAATATTTAACATTTTTAAATTTTATAAAAGTAAGCTGTTTAATGAAAAGTGTCTTTGTAAATTAATAATATTAGAATTTTATTTTACTAATTGAAGTATGTTACAGATTACCTTGGTGTCTGCTATCACAAGATTTACAAATATAATACGGGCTATATAAAAATCTAATCCTTAATAACTTTTGAACTAATAAATATGTACAAATAAAATATGTACAAATAAAATTATATTTGCCGAAGCTTTCTTAACGTGCACTTTAAATTTATAAAGAAACTAGGACAATAAATTACTATATAATCGCAGTAAATCGTATGATAACAAATATTCCTGTAACATATTTCAATTAGTAAGATAAAATTTTATGTTATTACTTTATAAAGACACTTTCATTAAACATTTTGCTTTTATAGAATTAAATATTGCGGGAGAATTAAAGGCGAAGTAAATTGATTTTTTATAATAATTTAATATAAAACGTCTTAAAATTAAATTATAAAAAAAAATTATATAAGATCATCACTATAAGATACACCCAGTTTAAGTATGTTATAGCTTTTATTTACTTATCACCAGAAGTAAAAGAGATAGCAGCATTTTTTGGCACACAAATATTATTTAACATATATTTATTTTATATATTTCATATATTTATATATTTGATTAATCAATTAATCGCATAAAATTATATATATGATTAAGTGAACAATTTAATGATTAATAATCATTTATAAAAATGTTTATTCATTTAATCACATAATTATTTTTTATTTATATTGATGGTTAAATGATTAACGGTTCCAAACTCTAGCACTAACACAACAGAAAAAGCACATCATAAGAGAGCAGTTATGCCAGATACAAAGAAAGCTAGACATAACCAAGTCAGATGACCTATTATTTTGGACTGTAGCATTAATTGTATTCTATAGTCTGGCTCGGTTGGGTAAACTCCTTCCATGCTTACAGTTAAATAAGACGAAAATTCCTATAGTGCAAGCATTGCAATTTGACTATGCAGGCAATGCGATATTCGCAACCATCCAATTACCAAGAACCACAAAACAAATGAATGCCAAGTGTTAATCATATATTCAACTAATGATGATCTCTGCCCGATCCGGGTACTCAAAACATACGTCGTCAAAAGAACGAATTCTACATACGCCTCAAGATGCAACACACTATTCATATAGTCAGATGGCAGCATAGCCACAAAACGTTGGTTTATAAGTATTCTCAAGCTTCTTCTACCAGGCACAAATATTACAAGACACAGCTTCCGAGCAGAAGGCACCACAGAACTAGTCCTACGAGACGTGCAATTAAATTATCCTTAATATAAAAAATAGGTAGATGGTCGTCTGATGCATTCTACAGATATATCTGGACCCATCCAGCCACGGTGGTGGCAGTTCTGACAGAAGTATATACAAATGAGTGATCATAAATCAATTTTGGAATCTGATCACTCAGGAAAAAAAAAAAAAAAAGGTAGACAATAATCAATAATGATATGAGAATCAGGATGTTAATTTCATTGATTACAACATTTTCAATGTTAAGAGTACAAAAAAAAAAAAAAAAAAAAAGGGAACAGATAGATTGATAAGATCAAATGTGTATATATATCGTATGTAATACATTAAATGTTAGAGATCAATTTTTTGGAACCTAACATTTCATAATAATTACTATCTTCTATTGTTCACATTTATATTGATAGCCGGCATGCATAATGCAGGCAGGAAATCACCAGCCAATGCTATATATCACAAAATCTACTGCTTATGGTAACGTCCAGCGCAACCTCAGTTGCTATTTCCGGATGCATATCCATTTCGGTTTCAATCATACATAAAAATCGTAATCATGCACATATCATAAATTCATTCATTAAATAAAAACTTATCTCTAGTATATCAGACCGGATTATTCCAAACTGAAACACGTGTACAACACTTTTCGTTCGAGTTGACATACGTACGGATAGTCAACAGATCAAAAAGTGGCTAAGCGGGGTGCAAACACCTTGGTCACGAGGACCATGTATAGCTTGGTCACGAGCTTGAGTATACAGGTTCTAACACAGGTGAGAATGATTTAAATTAACTTTCAAATAAGTAAGTACTAATTCCCGGACTGGATTGAGACAGGAAGAGCCAAATTATAAATAAAAAAATAGAAGGAATAAATTACCCATGCTAATAGTTCTCAATTCGGCTGCGAGAAGCAAACTGTATTCACAACCTGACCCCTCTCTCTCAGAACCAGACATTGGAACCTAACATTTCATAATAATTACTATCTTCTATTGTTCACGTTCATTTTGATGGCCGGCCTGCATAATGCAGGTGAAAAACCACCGGCCAATGCTATACATCACAAAATCAACTGCTTATGGTGATGCCTGGCGCAACCTTGGTTGCTATTTCCGGGTGCATATTCGTTTCGGTTTCAATCATGCACAAAATCGTAATTATGCACATATCATAAATTCATTCATTAAATAAAAACTTATCTCTGGTATATTAGACCAGATCATTCTAAACTGAAACATGCATACAATGCTTTTGATATAGCGTTTTAAGCCCTGTTGCTAAGCCTATCATTACCCCTATTTGACTTTGCCCGATTTACTTTGTCATATATGTTCATGTAGTATAATGGGCTTTCTGCATTTGACAATAGTATAATGGTAAGCGACATTTACAAACTGATTAGTAGCTTAACTATTTATGTTATTTTGTATCATCTTCATATATAAGATTTCCAAAACAATTTCCATTTACATGTATGTACTTGTACATATAAAGAAAATACTAGATTTTTTTTAAGAATGAGAAAAAAAGAAATTTATCAAAAGTATGCTCAACTTACTTTAGAAACGATTATAAAGCTAGTTATGATAAAAATATATCTTCATTATCAATTTATTATACTAATAAAAAATTTGACGAAAAGAAAACAAAGAACAAAAAATAACTCACAAAGTGACATAAAATTATAGGGCAAAGAGGTCATAAAAAGTGATAAAATAATATATTCTAGCATAAAATAAGTTATTATCCATGTGACTATAAATCTTGATTAAAACCTGAATCTACAATGTGGTGTGATCGATATATTTAAATAAATAAAATAATGCCAAGCAAAGCGAGGCAAAACATAATAAATATAAAACTAAGCTTGAATTGAGGCCGAAAGTTATTGCATTGGTTATTTTCAAAAATAGCTTTATATATTTGTATTCTAATTCCTTAAAGAGAGAATTTTTAATAAAGTTTAAATGTTAATTAAAAAAATGCTTTACTGCTTCACTGCTTCACTTGATCTTCTAATTCTTAGTTAGCTAAAGCTGAATAGCAAAGCCTTCTGTATATATAAGTTTTAGTATCTATTTTTTATATTATTGTGAATCTTGATTAAAACTTTAAGTTAGCAATTAATGATTGTTGAAATATAGTAAAAAAAATAGAGTTTAAAGCCTAGCCGAGCGAAACAAGGCCAAAACATAAAAAATATAAAACTCAAGCAAAGCCAAGAACTATAAAAAAAACAAATAGACTACACTGGCGATCATAAGTAGTGCAACAAAAAATAAATTTACTTAGATCGCATTATTTCTCACAATTTTGGGTGTATCCTTTTATTTTTTTTTTTATTTTACTCATAAATAGTACCTTTTTTTCAATATTAAAATTTTAATATTTATTATTATTTCCAATGTAAAGATAAGTGAGCATGTAGCACAAATCATGTGTTGCATTACTTTTGATCATTTTTTACAATGATTAGATGATGGCCATTGTACAATGAAGGATCAGGTGACTAGAAAATCTATTTTCATTTTTGAATTCTTGTGTTACAATAGAACTTAAATGATGTTCTAACAAAAAAAAATATATGATTTATAACTTAAAAGAGACCTAGTTTCTTCATTGCTACAAAACCCATGTACCACAAGAGTAGTAAGTTAGATATGTAATTTTAGTTCCTTTCTGATTCTTTATATCAATAAAAGTGGTGAAGCTATTGTGTTTGCAAAAATTAGTGAAGGTTTGTCATTTACCTGTTAGCAGCAAGTCAACCCAAGTGACATTTTAAATTGAGTCACCTATCTTCACCATTTAATTGCCGTTAAAGAATGGTTTTATCAAAAAAATTAAAAAGTATTAATAATTTAGGTTTATTTATTTTTTTACATATAGAATTATGGTTCGGTACTAGAGGTTAAGTAAAAAAAAGCTTTACCCATATGAATATCAATGAAAACGTTGGCTTGAATTTGTAAAAATCAGTCTACTAAGTACAGGTCTAGGTAATTTCGTCTAACAAGCTAAAATTTGAAATTTTTTGAGTTGCATAGTAAATAGTATTATAGAACCAACTCAAAAAATCATTAATTTGCTTTTAATAAAAAAGTTTTGGGACAGGTTTGTAAAGGTATAATTCTATATTAAGTTTTGTGACTTTAATAGCCTTTGCAAGATCGATTACTTGATGAATATTAAATTATACTAATATATTTGTCATTAATATTTTATATATATCATTAGAGATCACGATTTTGCTATTCAAAAAATAATTATATAAAAAAATAATAATAACAAATATAGCATGATAGTTCTAAGACATTACCTTAAAAATAATTAGACAAAGATTTTGATTAACATCTCTGCCTTCTAAACTTAATCATTTAAAAATTTGTAGGTCAGGGTTTTACTGTTAGCTTGAAAACATTTTGGATAAATTCAGATAAAAAAATTATTGGGGCAAGATCTAGGTAACCTAGATGAAAATC